AGGTGGTAAGAGAAGTACCAGGTTGGAATCTCCCACCATCAGCTCTTTACCACCCATAAGTTCCTACAGTCCAGTTTCTCAGAGGTAGGTAAGAGGAAACTAAGAGTAAGAAGGGTTATTTACGTGGTTTGAGTCTCATACCGCTAGTGTTCCTTTTCTTCCCCCATATCCCAACCTCATAATGAAACCTCATAATTTTATCCAGTAGGGATGCACCCATTTGGAAAATTGCCACAGTGAGAGCCCATACTTTCTGTTTAAGTGTATGCTTCACTGGGAGTATTAGCTGTTTGCTTAGCTTTTTAGGTTCTCCTTCAATAGAACATTTTATCTTCTAATGGTAACTGCTTCCTGGGGGTGATATAGAGTGTATGTTCAGTGAATGCTGTGGAGAGTTGCCTGCTGCTGAGTATCCTTGGCAGCAGAGGTGGCATTACTCTTTGGCTGGATGTGTTTGGAAATTAAGGAGTATAAGATAGTCTACTTAGGAGCTCTTGAATAGTATGGCCTGCATCTGCTGTGTGAATGAGAATTGCTGGGCCATACCTGAATAGTCAATGCCTGGAGGTATCCTCAAAAGAAAGGTAGAGGGTCTGGATAGTCTATCTGCCAGGACCTGGCAGATCTGGTGCCCCAGGCTATGTGCCTGGAGTTCCTTTGCCATTTGTATTAGATTCCTTGGGATTCCATAACAAAGTACACAAACTATGTGGCTTACACAACAGAAATTTATTCTCTCTTGTGGAGGTTAGAAGCCCAAAGTCAAGGGGTTGGCACAGCCTTGCACTCTGAAGCATCTAGGGAAGACTCCCTTGCTTCTTCCTAGCTTCTGGTAGTTGTTGACTGTCATTAGCATTCCCAGGCTTGTAGATGCATCACTATTCTTATAAGGATACCAGTCATTGAAATACTGAATCCAGTATGACCTTCTCTTAACTTGATTACATCTGCAAAGACCCTATTTCCAAATCAGGTCACATTCACAGGTACCATGTGTTAGCTCTTAAACATATCTTTTTGAAGGAACACAGTTCAACCCAAAAAAGTCTGCTCTCTAGCGCTCCAAAATTCATGTCCTTCCTATGCAAAATACATTCACCAAGTCCCAACATACCCCTCAGATCTTAATTTATTTCAGCTTTAACTGTAAGTCCAAAATTTCATCTAAATATAATAACTCAAAAAAACCCCACTCCCAACTTCTGAATCATCTAAATCAGAAATCAGTGAGACTCCAGGTATAGGCTGTTCTGGGGCATAATTATTCTCTGTCTACAGATCTGTAGAACTTGAAAACAAAGTGTTCACAAATTACAATGATAGGGGACATATGGCTAGAGGTAAGGCCACATTTGGTGGGGAGTGAGGGAGGGTGGGCCCCACAAGATCCTCATAGATTGATTGCATTGAACGTTTGATGGTTGATGGTTTACCTGCGATCTCTCACTGCTGTTGACATTTTCATATTTGGCTGTTCCAAACTTTGAAACTAAACCATCTCATGTTTTATGAAATGGACATTCCACACACCCAAGTAGCTGTAACTGATACTGCTAAACGTATTGTAAAAATTGCTATTTTAAGTATGTGTCATGCTTCTCTTAATTGTAAGTAATGTTCAGACAGAGGTACTGGGACAAGTGTCCAGCCAGGCTCTTCCAGCCCAGCCATGTAATATCAGTAAAGCCTTACAAGATGGGGGATGGATTAACATCCTGATAAAGAGCTATTTGCCGGGCTGTACAGTATGCTCTCCCACTGGGTCAATCAGTCCTAATAAGCCTCTTGAGCTACAAATGTCAGTGACCAACCACTATGCACACTAGAGCATCAGTCAGGCATCAGTCAAACTTTCCACCCACATGAAGGTGGACATTTACCTCTGCATATGTGCTTTCCAGAGTTTGGAGTCTGCCAGTACCTTATGCTTCTTGAGGGTATTGGAATATTGAAGTCTCTGAGGAGGCCTGGACTTTGATGATGAACAGATCAGCTAAGTTGAAGGCTGGTAGTGCACTGAGCCACTATGGCTATGTATCCACAGAGAAAACTGTTACAAACCTTATATGCTAAAGAAAACTCCACCAGTGGTTTGAGTTGTAGGCTGTGGCGCTTGTCCAGTAAAACACTGCCCCAAAATACATCTTGCTACATTTTCACTGACTCATAAGCAATAGCCAACAGGATGGCAGGATGGTACTTTAGTGCCCGGTAGCAGGATCAAGTCCTAAGCCCCTGTGGGGTCACACATTGTGATAACAGAATGTGTAGGATCCCTTACTCCCGTGGACTCCAGAGGCAAAGGACCCTTTGACAATGGACATCACTGAAACTAACTGGTGTTATTTTAGGCTGATCAGAACTGAGCCATCCAGATAAGACCATAAACCTCTGGATATACCATGACACAGGATGTGCATCAATATTCCAGCACTGAGACCGAAGTCAAAGCTTAGTGATTCAGCCTCTGAGGCCAGGAAAACCTGACAAATCTGCTTAAAGTGCCAATTCCACAGTTGAATGGTGTACTAGTATCCTAGAGCTCCTTAAGAAAGCACCACAGCTTTTTGGCTTAAAATAACAGGCATGTGTTCTCTCACAGTTCTGCAGGCTAGAGGTCTGAACCAGTGTTCATCTGCCCCATATATAGCAAGCCAGTAAAGATTGACACAGATTGACACTGAGCTTCTGCAGTGAAGAAAGATGGTGTGGTGCCTCCCAAGAGAATGGGGAGCTAATGCTCAAAGTCTCTTACAGGTGAGTCTCTTCTAAGGGCAAAATTGGGGGCAGAGGTTTCCTGAGAAGGTGGATGCTATTGATGGGAGGCCTAGGAAGTGCTGTTAACAGATAATAATTACTTCTGGTGCCACTTCATCTGGTTGCACAGAAGTCTGCTCTATCTCAAGAGACTTGGAATCTGCAAAACATTGTTATATGGATTAGAGATTTCATTAGGTACATCGGGATTATGAGTTTAGGAGAGTGCTGATCAGCTGCTTGTATCTGCTTGTGTGTGCATAAGCTAGTGGGTTGCTTTCCTTCATGTTCCTTTGAATGATACAGGCATTCCTGTCTCTTGGGCCTGGATCCATGTGTTCCCTGGCTGGTGCAGCTGTGCCTGGAAACAATATGTTTCCTAGTGTTCATTATTTCATCTGAACTAACAAGATGGATGCCAGCTTCAAAATGAGCATGCCAACAGGGTTGTGTCCTATTAGAGGTTCTAAGAGGGAATCTGTTCCATGCTTCTCTCCTAACTCCTGATGGTTTTTGGCAAACTTTGACACCCCTTGGCTTGTAGCCATATCGCTCCAATCTGTCTCCATATTCACAAGGCATTCTCCCATGCCTCTGTCTCCTGTTTCTCATAAGGACAGAGGTCATCAGGGCCCACCCTAATCCTCATTTTAACTTAACTAATGACCTCTTTGAAGACCCTATTCAAAAATAAAATCACAATCTGAGCCTCTTGATGGACAGGAATTTGGAGGCAAAGAGATACTATTCTTCTCAGTACAATGGCCAAAATGAACCATTTTATATTGTAACCGTATAGTTCATGACTTCCTAGCGGTCCCTGACATGTCCTTTGCAGCTCACTCTCTTAAACTAATTCCTTCAACAACCTCTCTTCAGATTGCATCGTTTTGCAATGCCCTGCTGGCCAGAAAGAACGAGGTCCAGCAGGCCCGTGGGAGAGGCCGGGAGAGCGACCTCGGCCCTCCAGGGGAAACTCTTAAGTCGGGGCGTGGTGCCAGGGCTTATGGGAAACGTAGTCCTACGTTTCCTTGCCTCAAACGGCGCAGGTTCGGGAAAAGGGTCTTCCATGGTCTCCGAGGCTCGTTGTGCGCATGTGTGACTCGGTCGCCAGGTGTTTTCGGCGGGTTTACCCGCCCGGCGGTGGAAATCCTGGAGGGGGGGCGGGATGAGCTGTGCGAGTGGGAGCGATGGGTGAGCCCAGGCCGGGTGGGCGAGGGCCTGCGGGGGCGGCGGTGGGGAGGGGGCAGCTGAAGGCGGGTGGGGGAGGCTCGGGAGGGGCGGCTGGGCTGGGTCCCTCCGTCCGGTCGGGGCCGGCGTCCAGGTGGGGCCGCGGTGTCGCCGTGGCTGCGGGAAGGGGACCAGAGCTTTGGATCCTGGTGGAGCCGAGTGTAAGTTGATTACTGCTGGCAAGATGAGGGCGGTACGTAAGACTAGGTTTCTTCATCTGTAAAGCAAGAATATTATGTCCCACATGGGGTTGTTCTCTGGTTTAACATTTTTTACACACGTTTTAAAGATACGTATACAGTTTTAACGTTCGGGGCAGAGCTTAGTTAATATTAGCTGTTAAGGTTTTTGGAAGGTATTTTTCCTTTTCGTTGGCTAAATTTTGTTTAATCCTAATAACGGCTTTTGTGTAACTGTTTTCAGTCTTGGCAGACGAGAGAACTGAAACTCAGGTGGCTCAAGTAAAATACTCAGGGTCTCACAGATCTGGTGGACAACCCAGTTGAAAAGCAGCATTGTATTTCTCACAGCACCTTCTTTAGGACCCAAGAAAACAACCCCAAAGTGTGTGAGCACTGAATCTCACCTTGTGATCATGCATTATGAGATTTCTTGGCATGTCAGAGCCCTTGGATCAGACTGCAGAACTTATTGCAACTTATTGTCCAACTTTCAGCATCCTCAGTGGCATTAAGTGTTTAGGCAGAGAAGTTCTGTGAGTTTGGATCCCTGAATGAAACTTCTAAATAAATGGTCTTGTCTTTTAAGCCTAGGTTCCAGCTCCCTTGGAAGAAAGCAGCTTTTATGAAGTAGGAAGGAGGAAGCTCCAGGAACAGGAATCTCACCTTGAAGGTCACTCCTCTGACCTCGACTTCTCAACCACAGCTTTAGAGCAGAGGCAGGAAACTGCTAGAAAGGAGCAGGTCCTAGGTTTGCGTAGTCTGCAGTAGCAGTTCTTTATTCTGCTCAGAATGAGCATTGCCTCACTATCACCACATCCAGAGGGCCTCACCATGATGGTGAAAGGTCTGGACCAAGCTTCAGAAAAGATAGGTGAGTGGGACACTGAGTGGTGGGTAAGGAGCAGGTTGTGTGGAAAATATTAATTCATTAGAGGGTTCGTGTCTGCGTGGTCTGCAGGGAGAGATCTGTAGGCGTAATGGAAGGAATTCTATCTCCTGTCTTTAGTAAACATGCCCTGCCTTCAGCCTCCACCCACTTTTTCTAGATTTTGAGCTGCTCTTCTTTGTCTCTCTAGAGGTACGCTACTGCTCCATCTGCCCTGACTTTCTAGAGGCATAGAATAGGGTCATCTGTGTCTGCTTAATTTCAGAGCTGAGAAGTCTTGACTTTGAGTGTGTAAGTAGCCTGCTCAGAGTCACCCAGTTTGTTAGCAGCAGTGCCAGGACCAGAAAACTCCACGATGTAAGTCATCCACTAGATTCTATCACAACTTAGTGAGAAAGTTTTTAAAGTAGGCCTGTCAGTAAAGCAACCTCATCTTTTTCTACAGAGTGATTTTCTAACTCTAAGGGTAAGCAGATCAGTAGGAATGTAAGTAAACAATATTTTGAGTATTTTTCCAACAACATTGATAATGAAAAATAACTATTTGTCTTTTGATCTCTGTTAAATTAGTACTGGATTGGTTCTAAAAGAAAAATGAAAAATTTAAATCATTAGGAAATTAACCCAGTGAAAAATTGCTCAGCCAAGCTCTACAGTTCCTGTCAGAGTCACACATGTGAATTCACCCTGCATATGATTCTTGCTGACTCTCAGGGGCCAAAGAACATTTTCTACAGGGTAATATTTAACTGTCTGGTGGGCATGGGGTTTTAGGAGCTGAATCTCAAAAGTCTGTAGCAGCCAAATCTCATATGACCTACTGTTTACTTCTCCCATAGCTGTACATTCAGCCTTCTCTGTACATTCCCAGAAAGAACAGAAAAAGAATAAATCCCAGGTGAGCTCTTTCTCATTTCTCACATTGTTTTCCATTGCATAAGACAATGAAGATAAAACTAATAAACTGTCAAGGAAAAATACAGAGTCAACACAGAGTTAACAGATTGAAAGCAAGGAAAGGTCAACATGTTAATTATGTGGAGGTAATTGTAATTGTTTTTCCAGTAACATATATATATATATTACACATTATATTATGTAACAGTAACTTTTATAATAAGAATTATGTGCAGATTTATCTTTGATACTCTGTCCAAAAGGATAATGCTTTGCCTTGACCATAAAAATAAAAAGTTGTTTGTGTGTGTGTGTGTGTGTGTGTGTGTGTGTGTGTGTTCTTCATGGAACACAAAAATTTCCTGGCCTGAAGTCTGAAAAAATTCTCTGTCTTCCTGAAAGTAAGGTAGTTAATAATCTCAATTAACAAGTCTGAGATGAATGCTGCCCATCTTCACCTGATTGTTCTTTAGTGGTACAGAGAGCAGAAGGCCAAAGCATAACTTAGTTGTTTCAAGTTGATTTTTTTTTTTTAAGCTGTATTTATTTATTTGAGGGGGGAAGGGGCAAAGGAGAGAATGTCAAGCAGACTCCCAATGATAATGAAGCCCCACGTGGGGCTCTGTCTCATGACCTTAAGGTCATGACCTGAGCCAAAATGGAGAGTTGGATACTTAACTGACTGAGCCACCCAGGTGCCCTTCAAGTTGATGATTTCTTTTGTCTGCTTTACAGTATTATCCTTTTCCTGTTGCCTTTTAGGGAAACTTATCCTCATGTGATTATCTTTGGTCTATTATAATTCTTACCTTATTACTTTTCTTGACTGATTTCATATTCTGTGGATTTTTATCTATTTCAAAGGATGGACAGCCACTCAATTTGAAATTCAAACTCTGAATGTTGTGCTTATTTAGGTGAGAGCTATTGCCTATCAGATACAGTTTTTCTGAGCAAAGCAAATTGTTGATTTTCTATATGGTTTTGCAAAGAGTTGGTATATTCATTTCCTGTGGATGCTATAACAAGTTACCACAAATTTGGTAGCTTAAAACAACAAAAATTTATTCTTTCACAGTTCTGGAGGCTAGAAATCTGAAATCAAGGTGTTGTCAGGGATGTGATCCTGCTTAAGCTTCTAGATGGATTCCATCCCCCATCTCTTTCATCTTCTGGTGGCTTTTGGGAGAGAGGCAGGAGATAGAATGGAGAAAAAAACTAAGATGAAGAAGAATAAATACTTTGTAAGCCCTATATCAGTGTTCCCCAGAGAAACAACCAATCAGATGTGTGTGTGTACAGATGGCATATAATGTAGACATACATAAATACACATAAGTATACATTTGTTTTATGGAATTGGCTCATGTGATTGTGGGGGCTGAAATTTGATGAACAAACCAACAAACTGGAAACTCAGGACTGAATGCTGTATTCTTGAGGCAGAATTCTTTTTTGGGGGGGAAACTTTAGTTATTGCTCATAAAGGCCTTCAACTGTTTGGATGAGGCCAACCCACATTACTGAGGGTATTCTACTTAAAGTCAACCCACTGTAGATATCAGCCACATTTATAAAATACCTTCATGGCAACACTTAATAAGTGTTTTATGAAAGAACTGGATACTGTAGCCTACCACATTGACACAAAAAACTAACCATCACAGGTCCTGTAAGAAGATACAACAGCGATCTATTGTGTTGTATGTTTATGTTGTATGTATAAATATATATGGGGTGTGTATATAAAGAAATACATGTATAAATATAGACATATTTTATGATCATGTGACTAGTAAACAGTACTTGGCTGGATTATTTATATGCATGACATAAGATACTCCTTTTATATTGGGTATTTAACTCATTCACATTTATTGTGGTCACTGATGATGTTTAGTTTTAGTTTCTCCATCTTTATTTGTATTTTTATTTATCCCATTTTCTTTCCTTTCCGTAATTTTTTCTCTGTTCATTTTATTTCTCTCTTCCAGTGGTTTGAATATTCACTATTCTATTTTTTTCCATTGGTTCTCCTGGAAACAGTTAACATAGGTTTATATTTGTATTTTTTCCATCAACATCAAGAATTTTTATTTTCTAGACCTGACCTGATCTTTTGCAGGTTTTACTGTCCCTTCCTCCCACATCTCATGTTTTATAGAAGTGATCAGAATCGTTTTTTAATTTTTTTAATTTATTTTTGTAAGATTTTTATTTATTTACTTGAGAGTGAGAGCAAGAGAGATCACAGAGAGAGAGGGAGAAGCAGACTTGCTGCTGAGCAGGGAGCCTGATGCAGGACTCGGTCCCAGGACCCTGGGATCATGACCTGAGCCAAAGGTGGATGCTTAACCAACTGAGCCACCCAGACGCCCCGGAATTATTTTTAAATATAAATTTTTTAAAAATCCTTTATAAACAGGTGCAATATTTAGACATGATTAAGTTATCTGGTTATTCTCTGTAATTTCCAAGGTAGTTGGATTGAAATGTCTAGAGACAAGAGGAGTTCAGTGAGCTAACACCTTGATCTTGGACTTCCAGCTTCCAGAATTGTGAGAAAACAAAATACATAGGTGTTAAGCCATCTAGTGTGTGGTAGTTTGTTATGGGAGCCTTAGCAAACTAATAACATATGGTAATTATATTTTTAATTCTTTGAGGACACACCATACTGTTTCCTATAGTGGCTGTAGCATTTTACATTCCCACAAATGTACACAAGGGTTCCAGTTTTTCCACAGCCTCACCCATGCTTTTATTCTGTTGGCCAATGGAAGTGAGGTGAAGTAATGTTCTTTTGAGTAGTATTAATCTCCAGTGTCTTTAAAAACAGTAGTTTCCTATTCTTGGAATCATAATAATTATATAGTTTTGTTTTCTTACTCAGTTTTTCACTTCATCTGGTGAATGTCTTTTATGTTACTGGTTCTTAAATTTCTAGTGAAATTTCATTGTCTGTTTTTATATGTGAAGACTTGGTTTGATTCATGTAGGTAGCTATTGTGAGTTATTCAGAAATATAGAATGCTGTTTCTTTATCTGTTTTCTCTCCTTAGTGAAAGAACTGACTTCAAGGATTTATAAAGGAAATTGTTGAAAAGATATAACCTGGTGAATTTCCTTTTATATTATCAGCAGGGAGTATGTAGGCAACCTTAAGGGACTATTGATTTTTCAAGTGGAGATTTCCCATACTATAGATTTAGATCATCATGATCTCTCATCAAAGACCTGCCTTAAAACGAATTCGGTATCTATTTTCTTTCTGGCTGACTTGGCATTGCTAGAGCCCCTGAAGCATTTCCCTAAAACACTTTTTAAAATCTAGTTTATCCTTCAGCCATCAGCTGTGCTTATAAAGAGTGGCAAATGCCCAGAGTGGTCTGACATTCCTTCAGTTAATTCCTCAGCCCGTCAATCAGAGCACTATCTACTTGGAGCTTAGATTAATTTGGTGGTTGTATATACCGTGTACTGAATGTATGCAGACACATGCATGCAACCCATGGGCAGTTCTCTTTGTACTGTCGTGTGGGGCTATAAAAATGGGCACATACACCAAAATCATGCAAAGCGATCTTAATCATGGGGGAAGGTGGTAGTTGTTCTGTGATCTTTAAAAATATTTGTCAAAACATTAAAAAACGTATAAAAATGAAAAAATACTATAATATTTAGTACTAAGGACCTCTTCATTAAGATCCTTTGGTTGTAGATCTAGAGTGTCTCAAGTGGAGGCAGTATCAACTTTCCCAGTCAGGTATTTCTTCTAAAATTCCATTTATATTTGATTTGCATTTCACTTCTACTGTAATCACGTCTCATTTCTTTGAGGCTCTTTCATCTTTGTTGGTTAGTTCCCTTTTGCAAACCATTTAACTGTTTTTGCAAGATGCCATATTGCCAGGAGACAAGGAAGGAACATGTGTTTTGTTTGTGTGTGGACTGAGTAACATGTGCAGTGATCAGTCACTGGTGGACTTTGAAAAAAAATGACACGATTGATAATTGTTCATGATGTTGGTTATTTATGTAGTGATTTGCGGATTGAAGAACAAGCAGCAAAATTTGTACTTTATGTGATTACTACTCACAGTTACCATTGTAACTGAAATCTGTGGTGTTGGGGGACTCTTGTTATAACTAAATAAATTGTGGTAACTGAAATTCATGCATGTTAGTACCATGCAAAGTATGGACCTCCTATAGAGACAGTCAGACATATTTATGTATTGCCACAGATTTGTGCCAATTTGATGCTTGAAAGTTTTCCTCTCTTAAAAGGGTGAGTTATCAAATACTTTGAAGAACTCTCCTCTAAATGAGCAATGCCAAAATTACCACAGGTTACGGCATTTTATATCTTTAAAGCTCCAAATTTAGTTCTCTCTTGATCTTCTGCTATTATTTAATTCAGTTTGCATCCATACTAGATTGTAAGCTTCCTGAAAGTAGAACTGTGTTTTATGTATTTTAATATCTACAGAAACCAGGACACTTTCATGTATGTAACATATTTTGGGCTTGTATGTGTTTGTGTGGGGTTTTTTTTTTGACAATTTTATTTATTTGTCAGAGAAAGAGAGAGCGCACAAGCAGGGGGAGCAACAGGCAGAGGGAAAAGCAGGCTCCCCACCGAGCAGGGAGCCCGAAGTGGGACTTGATCCCAGAACCCTGGGATCATGACCTGAGCCAAAGGCAGACACTGAACCGACTGAGCCACCCGGGCATCCCTGTATGTATTTATTATTATTATTATTATTATTATTATTATATTTCTCTTTCTCCCTCCACATATAAAACAAAACAGGGACTATTGTAAGTCTCCTATATAAACTTTTTCTAATAAACTCAATAGTAAACATGGCAAAGGATTGTTCCTAAATATATTTACTCTGTCGTATAGTTTTGAGCACTTCTGGTTGATTAGATATGTGTGTTACAGGGATCAATTTCATTTGAGGATGTGACTGTGAACTTTACGCAGGAGGAATGGGGTCAACTGGACTCCGATCAGAGGACCTTGTACAGGGATGTGATGCTGGAGAACTATAACATCTTCCTCTCACTAGGTAAGCAACTTCTCTGAGTAACATCAGCATGTCCTTTTGTTGCTACCAAAGCATGTAGATCTTTTTTAGAGTTTAATGATACTTAGGTTTGGACACCAGGGATATTATTTTTTCTCACTTCCCCACTGAAACATTCCATTGGGTCCCTTCACTGTGCAGCTCCTGAAGCTGGACTTTGGTTTTTCTTCTGAGTTCCTAAAATCAGGCAGCTTTTCCCGTGTCCTGTATCATTTTTCGTTATCAGGACATTGCATTACCAAACTAGAGGAGATCTTGGAGTTAGAGCAAGAAGCACCATGGGTGTTAGAGAAAGAATCTGCAAGCCAGTGTTACCTAGATGACTAATCCATTAGATCCCAGGTGGTTGTTTCAAGTATATGCATCTTTGGAGTGTTTTTAAGAATCTCTTTTAAGAAGCTCTGTTTGGAAATGACTAAGGATTCTTAGCCTGCTTGCCTAAATTGCCCACAGATACACTCTCACACATATATGTTCTCTTTTTTGGTTGGGTTTTTAGGAGTTTATTCCCTTTTACTTGCACCTTGAAATTCATTCCCATGTCATATTAATATTTTATGTTGGTTAGTCTCCTTCCTCCAGCAGTCTCAGCTTCATAGTCCCTTCATTTTCAAGGACTTCTTTTGTTTTCAGGAATTAATAAATTAGTTTAACCAGTATTAATTGAGGACTGCGCCATGCCAGTCATGTTTTAAATGAAAGAGATAGAGCTAATGGTAAAATTCCTTGGTGGTGAGATTCCTTGATCTCATGGAATTTGTATTAGCAGAAGGGAGATGCAGGAAGCCGATTGCTATGAGAGTTGAGAGTAGAAACAAGGAGACCAGTTAGGAAAAACAATACCCCATAGACTAGTTTTGAGGTAATAGAGTGTGCAAAGTCATGGAATTCTGGCTATCTCTCAAAGGTAGGGTTAACAAAATCAGCACCTAGATTCTAATTCATTCTCTCTGAACACTTTCATTCCTCGTGTAGTTTTTTTTTTTAAAGATTTTATTTATTTATTTGTCAGAGAGAGAGAGAGGGAGAGAGAGCAAGCACAGGCAGACAGAATGGCAGGCAGAGGCAGAGGGAGAAGCAGGCTCCCTGCTGAGCAAGGAGCCCGATGTGGGACTCGATCCCAGGACGCTGGGATCATGACCTGAGCCGAAGGCAGCTGTTTAACCAACTGAGCCACCCAGGCGTCCCCTCGTGTAGTTTTTTTGAAAAACAATCTTGTCTTCATGTTTTCCATATCACATTTATTATATAATTTTTTTATTGAGTGTATCTTACTGTGAATCCTGCTCGTTGTGATTCATCCACTCTTAGTGAATCCTTTATTTTCATTTTTTAATGTTTATTTTACTCCTATCCATTTTGAAATGAATATTCGTGAAGGACCAAATAAAATATGTGTGTGTTTGTTGCCAATTTTACTTTCCCCTCTTCCACCACAGTATCTTTGATTGGTTGGTTAGTTGTCATCTCTTTCCCCAGCTACTCAGAAAAGTAGAGGGAATGGAAAATATTGATTTAGCTTTCCTTTTATCCCAAAAGACCAGCTCTAAAACCAAAGGGCTGGGTGTATAAAAGAATGTATTTGTGTATTAGACCAATTTTATTAGTAGTCATTTCAGATTCATAAGGTATGTTTTTCTTGTTTCTAGAAGAATCGAAAGTTGATGGCATAATAGAGAGCAAAGAAAACCAAGACAAACATTTATGGCAACATGCATTTATCAATAACAAAAAAGTGACTACAGAGAAAGAGAATGTGTTAAGGAAAACATTTAATCTGTGCATAGACTTTATTCCTTCCAGAAAAACGCCGCGTAAATATAATCTAGATGGAATTGGTTCAGAAAATATGTCAGAGTTAACCATTAATAAAAGCTATTCAGGAAAGAAATCTGATGATGGCAATGGTTACAAGAAATTGCTTCCTGATATTAATCATGAAAAAACTCATACTAGAGAGAAGTTTGATGAATTTGATAAAAATGAGAGCATCTTCTATCATAATGAGAATTTTATTCAGCAACAAAAGATTCACACTGTGGAGCAACTGCCTGAATATAATGATTGCATTAAAACCTCCCACAGTAATGCTCTCTTCATTACACATAAGAAAATTCACACAGGAGAGAAATTATGTGATTATAATAAACGTCAGAAAACTTTCAGGAGTGAGTCAAACCATATGCTACGTCAGATAACTTACTCAAGGAGGAGTCACTATAAATTCAGTGAATGTGGGGAAAGCTGTGAAAAGTCAGTCCTTTGGAAGAAACATCCTAGAATTCACATGGGTGAAGAATGTGAGAAATACCACAAGTGTGATGTATGTGGGAAAACCTTCCTCCGGAAGTCAAACCTCACCATACATTACAGAATACACACAGGAGAAAAACCATATAAATGTAATGAATGTGGGAAATCCTTTTACCAGAAGTCAACCCTCACTGTACATCAAAGAACTCATACAGGAGAGAGACCCTATGAATGTGCCAAATGTGGGAAAAAATTCTACCAGAACTCAGCCCTCCATCAGCATCAAAGAACACACACAGGGGAGAAGCCTTACAAATGTAGTGAATGTGGAAAATCTTTCTCCCAAAAGTCAGACCTGACTGTGCATCAGAGCTCTCACACAAGAGAAAAACCTTATAAATGTAATAAATGTGACAAGTCCTTTAGTATAAAGTCAAAACTCACTGTACACCAGAGAATACACTCAGGGGAGAAGCCCTATGAATGTAGCAACTGTGGGAAAATGTATCATATGAAGTCAACCCTCATTAAACATCAAAGACTTCACACAGGGCAGAAGATATACGAATGCACTGAATGTAGGAAGACCTTCTGTGGGAAGTCAGTCCTCCTTAAACATCAGAGAATTCATACAGGGGAGAAACCTTACGAATGTGTAGAATGTAGGAAGACCTTTTCTGAGAAGTCAACCCTCAGTAAACATCAGAGGATTCATACTGGAGAGAAACCCTTTGAATGTAACAAATGCGGGAAGTCTTTCTGCCAAAAGTCACAGCTCATTGAACATCAGAGAATTCATACAGGGGAGAAGCCCTTTGAATGTAAAGAATGTAGGAGAACATTTTGCCAGAGGGCATCCCTCAATGTACATCAGAGAACACACACAGGAGAGAGGCCCTATGAATGTAACGAATGTGGAAAATCTTTTTATGATAGTTCAACCCTCACTAAACATAAGAGGATTCATTCAGGGGAGAAACCCTATGAATGTAATGAATGTGGGAAGACCTTCAGCCACAAAGCAACTCTCACCACACATCAGAGAATACACAAAAGAAAAACACTGTAAAGATGGATGGTGAAACCATCTTGCTATAACTCAGAACTGTTGGCCTGACAGAAAGTATATCCAGGGAGGTAATCCTATGGTTGTAATGAATGTTGGAAGTCCTACCAGAAGTCAGCCTTCAGTTTACATCATAGACCTCATACAGGGGAGATACTCGGTGGTGTTTTTACCAAACTGGGCAGAGAGCAAGTCTTTTTTTCTCTGCTGCTCTTGCATCCAGGTGGGATGATGTGCATGAGATCTGGCCAGTGGGCTGTGAGTGTAATGATGTAATTCACTTCTGGTCTGACACTTAATGGTCTCCATGGCAATTCTTTGTATTCTCTGCTCTCTATGGAGTAGGATGTAGGGTGCTTTCTGTTGAGAGGTCAGCACTCACTGTGTGTTGGTGAACTCACACAAGAGTAGAAATCTCTGTCAACATCTTGGTGTTTAGAAACCTAGTCCACAAATGAAACTTATTGTAACTGGAGAAATCAGAGTTAAGAAATCTTGAGATTGCAACAAATTTTAAAAAACCTTTACCAAAAGGTATTATCTGGTTGAACCTCAGGTAAACTAATAGACTGAAACCATGTAAGCACATGGTTTTCTGAAAGCTTTCAGCAAAACATATTTTATTGTATTTCAGAGAATTATTATTGAGGGAAACTGGATTTAGAAAATACAGAAATTTTCTTCTTTAGAAAAGATTTTTAAGTTGTAACATAGGAGATACAGAGGCCAAGTATATATTTTTCACGTTTAGCACGACTCTCTGAGTTTAAGAAAGCTGCTGTGAACAGTAAGCTCATTGTACTTACCATCATAAAATGTGTTCATTAACAAAGAACCCCATCCCGGAAATGTTTACTTGGGGAACCGAAGTAGGTTTGAGTGTGCCAACCCAACTTAGATGTAACCTGGGAACTATGTGTATAGCAACATGCCATATATTGTTCTTTGCCTTTACTTCCTAGTAAAGTATGTGTTGGCAACCATGATATGGTGCAAGGATTGGCAGACATTTTCTGTAGAAGGCCATATAGTAAATACCTTAACCTTAAGGCTACATGTGCTTTCTGTCACTTTTTTTTTTTTTTACAACCTGTTAAAAAAATTATTCTTAGCTCATGGGCCATTGAAAAACAGACTTGGCCAGATTTAGCTTATGGACTGAAGTTTATGGACCCCCGATACAGTGGTTAAAAGCATGGACTCTGAAAGTGTACTTGCTAGGCTCAGGTCCCAGTTCTATTGCACATTAGCTGTGTGGCCTGGGACAAATCCTTTAACATTTGTTCATTTCTTTTTTGCAAAATGATGACACTGCCATTACACTACCACATGGAGTTCTAGTAAGGACTAGGGAAGTTAATAAATACAAAGTACTAAATCACTGCATACAGTGCTGCAAGTGTTAGCTATTATAGGACTTGCAACAGATTTGTTGGAGCTTTGCAGACTTTTGATTACCTACTCCGCTGTTCTTCACTCTAGGCCAGTAGAAGATTCAGGAAATGAATGATGATTGGTCTGACCTAATTTTTTTCCAGCTTATTGAGGCATAATTGATAGACAAAATTGTAAAATATTTAAAATGTATAATGTGATGATTTAAGTATACACTGTAAAAGGATTCCCCCATCAAGTTAATTAACGCAACTATCACCTCACAAATTTATCAGCCACGCCCCGCCTTTTTGGTGAGAATGTTTATGTTCCACTCTCAGCAAATTTCAGTTATATAATACGCTGTTATTAACTCTAGTTAACCAGTAATACATTAGATCCTCATGGTCTCACCTAATTTTGAAAAACGTATCCTGATTAATAATTAATTTGCAATAAGCATCTGACCCAGCTCTGGCCAGTGAGAAGAAACTCTGAAGAATATTCAGTGAGGTATGGGAAAATAGGATTCCCCAGAGGCTAACAAATATTTGATTTTTTTTTTTTTAAAGCCCTTTGATTTTGCTGGATATTTTTATGTCTGGATGTGATATCTGATAGTAGTTTTTGATCCTAAGGTAGTATCTGAAGATGGCAGAACACAAAGCTGGAAAGAGGTTGGGTCAGCAGTGTCTTGGGTAGGTAAATCAACCAACCCTAGAGCTTCTTTATATGAGAAAAATTTTTTCTAATTAAACTAGTTGAGTTGGGATTTTCTGAAAATGGTTTAACAAACTTACAGGTATACCTTTTTGAGGAGTTATTAATTCAGAAATACTAACATTCATTAGCTTCCAGAGAGGACATGTTGTGAGAAACTGATTCAGGGGTGGCTATTTTTCAGTAAATCTCCATATAGTGAGCCTAACCATTAGAAAAACCTATTTGTTTTTACATTATATGAAATGAGTGTCTAATTCATTGAGCTTTCTTTGCATCTATATGAGAAAAGCACTTAGAAAATCATTATCTCATGTATACCTTATATTTTTAAAATATGTGAAATAAACATTAAGTTAAATTGAATTATCCATTGATCTGTCTCTCTGTTACTGTTTGATTAGATAAGGTATGAGATAAGGATCTAATGTTTTCCCAGAGGAATAATCCGGTCTCAACACCATGTGATTGAAGTTTGAAGTACCATCTTTACTAAATGTAAGGTGCTAAATTATCATTTGTAGAGGGTACTTTTGTTCAGGACCCCTTCCCTTTATTGCCTTTAGTAACCAGTTTACCCTCATGACATAGGAGCTAGTAGATCTCCTGAAGATTCCATATCCCTTGACTTCACATTTATTCCTGGGAAGTACATTTGATCCAAGTGGGCCAGTAAGTGCCCGATGTGGGATTTTGTAAAAGGAGAACATCATGTTCAGTGGTTGGTGACCTGGGACTTTTAGCAGCCATGAGAAAGTGTCTGCATGAAGAAAAATAGGCATGTAGAAACATTTAAGAGAGACAGAATCTTGATGCTGCACAGGACCAGTCAGTGCTTGACCCCCTTGTGCTACATATTCCAAAGATACGTACTTTTATGTTCTTTTGGTTTCATTATTAAGCCAGCAGATGTTAACATCCTCTGTACCATGATCAGTTGCTGATTTTTGTTTCACTAAACTCTTTGTTTATGCTTATGCCAAAAGTAATGTTTTAATTAGTATGGCTTTTTAATGCTTTTTATTGTAGAGCAAGTCCTTTCACCCATAATTATACAATTAATCTTCAGCAAAGGGGGGAAGAATGTGCAATAGGAAAAAGACAGTCTTTGTCGAAAAAAAGAGTTGGGTATAATTTTACATAAAATCAAATTCACCATTTTATAAGTGTATTCTTTGAGTTTTGACAAATATACGCAATTGTGTAACTACCATCATGCTTAAGACAGATCTGGCAGCCACTGATCTGTTTCTGCCCCTACAGTTTTACTTTTTCTAAAAAGTCGTGTAAATGGAATCATGGGTTATATAATCTTTTACGTCTGTATAAGTGCTTTTGAGGTCATCCATGGTATTGCATGCATCTGTAGTTTGCTACTTTTTATTGCTGAGTAATAATCCATTGTATGGATATGCCACAACCTATTTATGCATTCACCTGTTGAAGGTCATTTGACTTATTTTCCACTTTTATTATGAATAAGCCTCTTGTGAACATTTCCATTGAAGTCTTTTTGTGGACACAGATTTTCACTTAAGTAAATACCTATGAGTAGTGGCACTGGATCAGATGATAAATAAATGTATGTTCAGTATTTCTTTATTATTTTGTTCCAGTTTCAGGTAAAAAAAAAAAAGTTATGGAAGCACTGTGAACTGGTTAAGATTAATTAAAAAGATCACACATGAATATATCCTAGTAAAAATTTAGTCATTCTAGCTTCTAAACAAAATCAGTCACTTAGAAGGAATAATGAATCGTCATGGTATTTGATTTTTCAAAATCTGTAGGAATATTACAAGATTTAAAAATATTTGACAGAAATGGACTATATGTGAATGATTCAGTATCTGTTCAGAAGTGCCTGTGGGAAGGGAAAAGAAAAGACTTGGAAAGTATACTTTAAAAGTGTAAATTTCAGAGGGAATTTCTGAATAAACTTAGCCCAATTAAGTTATATCAAAAACAGTGTGGGGGAAATTGCAAGAGAAAATGAATCTAATAAAAATTAAAAATTTCAAAGGATGATACTAATGATTGCATTATATTTGTAATGTAAGTGTTAAATGATTTATGAAATAGGATTTACCCTAAGGAATATGTTTTAGGCAGGATTTTTGTTGTGTGAGGCTGCTTTGAATTGAGTAAGAGCTTAGTTTGCAGATAAGGGAAATTGGAATAAATACTGTGGTGTTGCCCTGTTACCAATGTGAATTTATGGTTTCTAATATTAATAGATAAAAGTAAATATACGAAAGTGCACATATGGAAGTAAACAAACACACTTCTTAGCTCTGTCCACTAGAGATGGCACAGCAGCAGCAAAAAACCAGTAGAAATAGACATAGCTAGTTCCTGCATTTTGGTTTCTAAATGCATTTTCTGCATTCTTCACTAAAAGGAACCAGAGTTCTTAGAGAAATAGCTGATTCCAGGAGTGGTTCAGGGACATTACATGATGAGCCTGGAACATTTTTTTTTTAAAGATTTTATTTATTTATTTGACAGAGATCACAATTAGGCAGAGAGGCAGGCAGACAGAGAGAGAGAGGGAGAGGAGGAAGCAGGCTCCCTGCTGAGCAGAGAGCCCGATATGGGGCTTGATCCCAGGACTCCGGGATCATGACCTGAGCCGAAGGCAGAGGCTTTAACCCACTGAGCCACCCAGGCGCCCCGAGCCTGGAACATTTTTTGTGTGAGAAAGTAACTCTAAAAAATAGTGGGACCATGTCAAAAGGACATGGCTTAAAAACAAAGGGACTTACACTGGCAGATTCTGTGGCAATATAAGAATTGAAATAATTGTACAACATTGAGCAAAATAGGAATCCAGGAGTCTATACTAAATAAATGGATAAATGGGGGAAAATAATATGTTTTTCCTTACAGAATAATATCAATAAATGTAGAAGGATCGCTTCTCAGCCTTTTGGTTAAGATCAAGTGTAATAAATGTAGAAGGAAATAATAGAACTGAGGAATTACTGGGGCACCTGGGTGGCTCAGTGGGTTAAAGCGTCTGCCTTCGGCTC